GATATCAAAAAAGTACTCCAGAGTGTTGTTCAGCATGGGGGTGAGTAGAAAATGAAGGCTAATCATGTTTTGGGTGTACTATTCCTTTAACCAGTGAAGTGGAGATGATCAACATTATTTAGAAACATTTTACGAATAAAATGTGATTTTGCTAATAAGTGTGATCTGCATTAATAAATAACAGTTTATTTCAAAGCACATGAATTTATTTTGCCTTTCTTTGTTCTCATAATTAATCACTGCTTGAAAACATTAGTGAACAAACAGCTTTGTAAATTAAAGGAACACACTAGACACTCTAGGTTAAAGTGTTGGTTGTAGGACTAAAGCATAATGTTGTAAAATGAAAATAACAAAACAAAAAAAACAACTTATTGTTTGAAGATTTCCATTATTGAAAAATGGAAAGAGACAGAACTTCAGGTTTACTATTACATAAGCATTATTAGCACACAAGAAGAATACGTTTCACTTGTCATGCAGGAAGCTTTTTCATTGCAATATGTCAGAAAAACCTTGTTTTTATTTTGAAAACATGCTAATTGAAACAGATTTCACCAGCATGTTGTACTCCATTTTGGGTAAGACACCCTCAGAATAATGTGTGAGTATTAGAAATCCATTTCAATTTGCATGTTAAAAAAAAAAAAACATGGCTTTGTTGCGGCTACTGTATAAAACCTCAAACTCAACACTATTCCTGACATATTGAATTGAAAAAGTTTCATCGATGGCAAACGAAAGGTCTTCTAACTTGGAAACAAAGTCCAGCGGATTGTTTTTAATTTTCTTTTTTTTTGGAATGACTATGACCTGGATGACTGAGAATCTTAACCAGCGTACACAAGAAGAAGAGATGCAAAGATCCACAACTTTGGTTGATAGGATAAAAATCAGTGTCTATTCCACAAAACTGCTAGTTATGCAAAGAGAGACATTTTTGGAAAAAAGTCATTAGGAAAGTTTGTCAGAAGAGTAAAATAAGTTTTACTTATCATGATAAAAATGTCTTTGCTAAAGAAAAGTAACACTTCAGTTTAATAAGCATATTGCTTTTGTCAGACCTTGTGGTTGCATCATCATGCTGTGGGGATTGTTAACATTAATAGGAAGAGAGATAAAGGTAAACACAAAACAATGCTGGGGAAACAGCACAGGAAATTTATATTTTGTTGTGCTAAAGGTAATTAAACTACATTTTAGAAGGTCTGAATACATATGTACGCCATTTTTGTTTTTTTTTTTGTCTTTCAGTTTACAATAATGCATTGGTATAAGTGCATTAAATATCTACTCAAAGGAATTAAAGTTTAGGATTATGATATAAAAAATTGTGAATATGTTTGATAAGTTACATTATGTAATGTATATAAATTGATCTAAGAGTGAGCTTAATAAATTAATGTTTAAGTGAAATACCAATGTATCAATGTACCAAACCAGGTCTAAGCAAGAAAATTATAGTCTACTATTTCAGGTTAGAACTGGAAAATATTGCAGATTTTCTGTTGTTTTCA